TTATTTTATTATTATTTTTTCTATAAAATTAATAATTTTAATAATAAAAAATAAAAATATTTTAAAAAATACACTTATTTGTTTTTAAACATGTCCTTATTAATCATTTGATGTTAAACAACAACCGCTAACTATTGTATAACTAAACAGTTATATTTATCGAATCCGTTATTTACCATCCGCTACCCACTTTCCGCTATCCGCCATCTGCTATCCGCTAACCGCCACCCGCTACCCGCTATAGCTATCCGCTATCCGCTACCCGCTATCCGCTATCCGCTGAATTTTAACCGCTGTACTAAAGAAGCCCTAAACCTTAGTCAGCCAAAGGCAAGCTAACACAATCAGTAACAACACATATCTGCTACATCCAAATGATAGAAGTATAATTCTAGCACATTTTTGTAATCCTACTTTGCAGAGAAAATAGTGACTACTGACCAAGAGTTCTCTCTGACGGCCACGGCCTGTATGCTTGCAGCTTCAGAAAGAAAAGCTGCGCCCCCAAGAAGTGTGACCCTTCTATCTCAAGATCGTTTTGCCAAGTGTTTTATGGTCGAATGAACATGGCCTTTGAAAAAACTCCAATAAGTGAGAAACTGGGGCTGAGTTAACCAAACACGTTTTTTGAATTTGAGAGTTTTGCTTTAAAGTGCAGATCAAATTAGATAAAATATATTTTTTTGTGCTAAGTGCCAAAAATATATATATATTTCTCAGGTGGGTGGGAAACAATCTTCCATATTAAAAATTTTGCTCATTTTCAATGAATTAAATTATACAATTTAATATAATCTATACAATATTTTTTAAAATTTAATAATCGAACAAACAACTAACAGAACAATCATGAGCAAGCAGGCAGCAATTTCTCGAAGCAGAAGGCTGCCATGAGAAATAGCCCAAGGGTTATCTTCGTATACACGACGAATTGAAAATAACATTGAAATTTAATCCTTTCAAGTAATTAGCTTCCTTAGCTTGTGAATTGAAATGGCCAATAACTAGGACCAAAATCAATAAAGCTCTTTTATATCCTTTATTTTCTATATATTTATGCCACAAAAAATAAGAAAAACATGAGGAATACCATTAAAACAAAAAAAATCTTGATCATCAACCAGCGGTTGGATGAAATACTATTTAGGTATCTGACCAATTGGCTCTGCGCTCCCTCTACATTTGCCAGTGTCTCATCCATGTTCTCGTCAATCCTGCCACCCACACAGTAGTGTATCTAGTGTTTTATAAACTGATCTTATGGTGAATGAGTAAAAACAAACAAGCATCTGTCATTGACCTTGTTTGTCTTGTTTGTGCATGCGTCAATGGGTGGGGGTTACCACAACTTGTGGATAAAATATCAAAAGAAAAGGGATTATGGTAGACCTGATTGCAAGCTCTCCTTGCTGAGAAACCATGGTTGCAAGTTGAGTGAAAATGTTGCCCAGCTCATGAATGGTTGACTCCACATTATGAAGGGCTTCAGCTCGACCCTGCATGTAGCTGTCTTGTAGTGGAACCATCTGCTGGTGCTGCTGCTGTAACAATGGCTGAGATTCCCCATCTAAATGTTTGCTGTGAAGGGGAGAAAAGAAGTGAGCAAGTAGGAGCATTGCTGCATTCTTTTTATCCAAACCAGTTCCTGAAGGATGCCAAATAGAAACTTATATAGTGCTGTGGGATGTTTCCATATAGGCATATAAAGTGAATAATGGGTGGCAGCTGAAACTCCAACTCCAACAACAACCACCAATATTGCCCTTGGTTTGGCCCAATTCCCCCAAATAAAGAAGGGAAGAGTAACCGTTTTGGTATCAACCATGCATGCAAGCATGGCATTTAATACCATAAAGGCTTTTTCAACCAAGTGCAAATTTACTTTAGGAAACTTGCAATGATCTTCAAAACAGGACTTACAATTGCAATGATCTATAAAACAAGACTTACAATTGCAATGATCTATACATACCACATACAAACTTACAATTGCAATGATCTATACATACCACATACAAACTTACTTTAAGAAACTTGGAAAAAATTTGTTCTGAATGGACCAATCTCATCAATTAGAAAGTTATCTCTAATTGTTTCCTGTTTGTCATTTTTCCTAAGAAGCAATAAGTGATAATCTTTAAACCAATTTGGAGCAGAAGTGTTAGAAAGATAAAAGTTTTAACTTGTACTATCTTCTTGCTATCCTAATTTTCTCACCTTGACCATGCAGTAAACCATGGCTTATTTCAAGTTGCACTAGCAATATCAATCCATATTCCAGATAAAATAAATGTATGAAAAGATCTTCAAAACAAGAAGACTTTCAATTGCAATAATCCATACCTTGGAAATAGTTGGGAAGATGAAGCAAAACCATTAGCCCAGGGAGGAGGACCTGCTGAGGAAGTAGCAGCTACTCTAGCAGCCAGTGGTCGTTGGCGAATAAATGGATTCACAGAATCTTTTGAAGTAGTAGAGGAAAACAACTGCCTCCTGTTCTCATGAACCTTTAGGTTCTGCATGAAATAGAAAAATATTCAAATCAAGATGTAAGCAAATTGCAACTTAAATGAATCCATGATCAACATCAAAACTAAGTTATATAGAAATACATATTTTTTTCCTATGATACCTCTGTTCGCATTGTAAGGACTTCTTTAAACTCCTTGGTGGCACTCATTAACCGATCCTTTAGGTTATCCACAACTGTTGTTGAATGTGTTGTGGTGTCTCTTGATATACTTCCACTTTCATTTTGTGAGACATAGAGCAGCTGGTGGAGGTCTCCTACTGCTGAATTAAGTGCAGTGATGTCTTGCTTTATTACTGCTGTCAATTCTTGGATCTCTGTGGATGGATCATCAAACACTGATGTCCTCTTTGCCACTGGTGAAACACAAAAGTAATACTTTATGAATACAATTATTTCACATCACTGTTTAATTTCTATAAATAATCAGAAATCACTAGCTGCCTGGTTATGGTCCACATTTTCTTCCATATCATTGTTTAAATGTTGATTACTGTACCTGTTTCATAGAATAATGGTACAAAATAATGGACAACTCAGTTGATGGTGCATCACTTAAACAATCATACTTAAAAAGAACACACATACTAAAAAAGAACACAAAGCAAACTGGAAACACAATGCTTATGAAATAATAAGAAGGGGGACCCAAGCTATTGAAAAGAAAAAGGAAAAGCTAAATCTCAGTGGTAGTTTCTCTTTTCTTGGCCAATCCCAATTAGAGTAGTAAACTATTTCTTTTATCCAAAATTAAAAAGGAAGAAAGGGCCCCCAGTAGAAGCATTTTCAAGTAACAGCTGCATACCATTTCAGAGAATATATGAAAAACAACTTTCCATTGACAGTCAAAAAATTTCTTAAGTTGTAAGCACAAAATTCATCTAGAAAAAGTTGGGCTGAAACCATTGAAAGAAAAACAATGGACATGAAAGGAAATTATCAGGAAAAAAAATAAAGCTCAGAATTCAAACCTAATCAAAATGAATCCATTCCTAAAACACGCCACTAGTAATCTTCAAGATAATTATATCCATATAAAAAATTGAGGTTATAAGTATCAACTCCATTCAATATGTACAAATATCACTTTAATTATTAATGAACTGTTAGTTACATGAAGTAAGAATATAGTCATGGAATGGGTTTGATCACCAACAATTTGCTGCAAATAATCAAAGGATTAAAGCCTAAATTTGATTCAAATTTGCATGTTATCTGTCATCATCTCATCCTCACTCTTCCACCACAAAGAAATACTCAATAAGCCACCACATAGTCACAAGCATGGAATCCAAAAACAACCATTATGTTCGTACCTGCAATGCAAATCTCAACCTTAAACGGCAAGTTCGCAACGGAAATCTCCTACGACCGGAATAGTAAATCGGCAAAGAAGAAAAAAATGAATACGTACTGAAAATCAATCAACACAAAATCAAATCCAAAAAGAAATTCTAAATCCAGTATTCTACCAATAATTCGCCTCACATTTTGCTAGCTTGGCCAACTTCTGCGACGTCTGGTGAATCCCGAGCCCGATCTTGGAAGCCTTTTTGTTGAACTCCGACTGGATCACAACCGCAGATCGCCGATCGTCGGGCTTTGAGCCAGTGTTATTGCTACTAGCGCGGGGCGCTGCCTTGTTAGCAGGCGAAAGTGACTTCCTCCGTCTCTCTGCTACGCCAAAAAACTCATCCGTCCGGTCCCGATACGAGGATTTTGCAGCCTTAACATTCATCTTCTGCAGAATCGAAAGATAAAAAAACGATGATCCTCCCCAAAACAAAATCGTGCAACTTTTTCACCGGATTCGTGAAAATGAACAACAATTTGGAGAAATCTGAAAGAGGATTCGCCCAGCCATGCCTGGAGTGGTGAGAGGTGAGCGTGTGGCACAAAAAGAATGTGAATTGTTTCGGGAAAGATTAGCTTTCAGGGAATGGTTTAATGCTAATCTACATCCCTAAACGTTTACCTAATGCAAATTTTTGGTCCCTAAATGATTTTCTACACTTTTTGCTCACTTAACTTGAAAATGTATATTTTTTGTGAGAAAATTGGTAAAGAAGGATATCAATTTTGTACTTTTTTTTATTTAAAAGTATTAATTTTTTTAGTTTTTAGATAAAGATATTGAATTTTAATTTTTCGATTTAAAGATGTTAACTTTCAATTTTTTTTATTTAAAGATTAATTAAATGATAATATTAACATAACAAATAGATTTTTAACTGAAAGAGAAAATATATAAATAAAAATGTTAACTTTTAACTTTTAACTTTTTTTATTTAAAATTGTCAATTTTCAATTTTTTCTATTTAAAGATCTCAACTTTCAACATTTTAGTTAAAAATCCATTTGCTGTCAGTATTATCATCTAATTAATCTTGGTTAAACCCTTCTTTTATCCCTCAACTATTATACGGACCTCAATTTGGTTCCTAAATTGAAACAATCCCTAACTTGATCCATATTGTTTACCAATTTAACCCCAAAAATCCACTATTAACTCACATGATTTAATGATATGTCAAAATTTTGAGACACGTCAAATGTACAAATGGAAAAGAAAAAAAAAAAAGATATGATATGGCAATATGACATATTATATTCTTGCCCAACACCAAAAAAAAAAAAGTGGAACCCACCAAAATTACAATTTTACCCTCATCTACTTCCTCCGGCCTTCTCTTTCTCAAATCTTCTTCTTTCATTCTTTTTATTCTCTCTTTGCTTCCTCCAAGTCCACTTTTATTACCATTCATCATTAATCAATTATTCATCATCATCATCAAACAATAAAACTCACAAAAAATAAAAAATAATTTTAATTTTTTGTACAAAACAAAAAATTTGTTGGGTATGAACCCAGTGGTCGTTGGGTTCCAACAACTTGAACCCAAGCATGCTAGGTTCAAATCCAGTAGCCGCTGGGTTCCAATAGTTGGAACCCACGCATTCAAATCTACCGACCGTTGGCTTCTAGTTGTTAGAACCCAGGTGTGTTAAGTTCAAACCCAACAATTGCTGGGTTCCAACGATTGGAAACCACGCGTCCACGCGTTCGAACACAGCAGCCACTGGGTTTGAATACGTGGATTCTAGCCACTAGAACCCAAGCGTGCTGGGTTCACACCTAACAATTGTTGGGTTCCAATCGCTAGAACCCACACATGCTGGGTTCGAACCTAGCAACCGCTAGAACCCACGCATTTCCAAACCTAGTATGCCTAGGTTTTAGCCGCTGAAACCCATGTGTT